GGCCAATTCCTCCCTACTTTCATGGCCGCCAAGCTACCTCAACCCTTCCCCAATCGCAGACATAAAGTTTTTTAGTCTCTTCTTGTTTTAATGTTTTGCCCTAGGAAATGGGGCATCCAAGAGGTCTTTCTGCGGCGATACCGCTTTAGTAGAGATAGCGTTATGCGCCTTTTTGTCTGGTTTCCGATCATCCGAAGGGTCTGGCCACCAAGCTAACGATATGTCTAACAGCTGTAAACAATTTCGGGGAGATAGTATCAGCTTGTCTAATTTCACGTTCTATTCTGAACTTTTTGGTATCTTCATGAAGTCGTACACAAGCTGTACCAGTTTCGTAGATACTTTTAATCATGAAAGTATATCGGTAGTCAATGCGGCAGTGAGCAAATGCTCGAAGCGTCATGATCTATAGTATCAAACTCATTTTCATAGTCTACGAATATAAGAAAGATAAGCATTTTGTATTCTGTGCACTTCTTTATTAGCGTTTTAATAACTTGTTTGTTCCGTATCTGGAGCGGAACTCAGCCTGTTCGCAAGGTTGGTAACTATCCAGTTTGGTCACAAGCCATTTTGATATTATCTTCATGAATAATTTGTATGTATGGGAGAGCAAACTAATAGGTCGGTAGTTTTTTAGGTCTGAAATGTCACCTTTTTGTGCATTATGGTTATTATTGTATTATGCCATTGGAAGGGACTATGTCTCTTATTAAACAAACAGTCAACATCTTTGTCAACACACGTATTAACGTTTCTCCTCCTTCTTTGATCTGTTTCATGACTATCCCATCTTTTCCAGTTGATTTATCGTTTTTTATTTATAACAAAGCTCTTTTATTTCTTTTGTTGTGATATCTGGGATGTCTTCTTCTGAGCCTACACTTTGGACTTTTGGTATTTGACTTTGATTAGGATCTGGCAGTTCTTCTCGTTTATTCAATATACTGACATTTTTTCCAATCGATTTTAAGAAATCTTTATTTAACTGTCTGTGTTACAAAATCTCTGTGATTTAACTGTCTGTGTTATCTCTTTTCTTTTGTTGATAAGATTTTTAGTAGCTTGGGTGATTTTCCTTTTTCCTCCTTTGTTTTCCTTTTTCCCTATATTTTCTATGATTGTTTTCAGTTTCAGTATTTATTCGCATGTTTGTCACCTCTTTATCTAATTCATTTCCATTTAAATGTTCTACTTTAAGTTCTGAAATTATTTTCTGATTCTGATAAGCTACTTTATCTTCTATCCTTTTCCATTTATTAAAATGCCTCTGTGTTACCATTGCTCTCCTCTCTCTTCTAATGTTGATCAATATATTTGCTCTAACCAACCGATGGTCACTCCTAACAGTGATTTTATTAATTACTGTAACATCTTGGACAATATTTTTTCTGTTTGTGATTATGAAATCAATGTCGTTTTTCGTTATGCCATCTGGACTCGCCCACGTCGACTTATGTTGTGGGATGAATAACGTAAGGAAAAAAACGGGTGTGGCAGTCCAGTGGGACTTCCGGTAGAAGTTATACTGCTATATGCGTTCGCCGTTAAAAATTTATATGGGAGTCAATCTACACAATCATTACATATGTAATGCTATAGGTAAGAGAGAGCAGAAAGAGAAAAATAATTAGTTATATAGGTATATGGTGCATCGTTTGCTGTATATAAGCATTTTACCTGTAATAGGAGTATAGTAAATGAAGGATTGTATCAATATTTTAATGAAAATATATATTTTTATTTTCATATATGTATAAAATGAGTTGAATGCAAAAAAATTTTTACACCTACTCTGCAGCAAAATTAATTGTTTATTTTGTTATTAATATAAAAATTACAATACAATAAATACACTGCAACATAATTCAATATAATAATACAATATAAATTAAAATGTAATATTCATAAGTATTTAAAACTGACAATATACATAACTTACTTTACGAAGTTAAAAATAAAAAACCAACAACTCGGATTATGTTATAAATTTTCATTTTATTTTAAAATTTGTCATTTTTGCGTATATTACATATATTTTATAAGATTAACGTGAGGTTTTTAAATATTTCAAAAATAAAAAAGGAAATTCATAATTGAGATTCGAACTCACAAACAGCAGCGTATGAACCAAACACGTAAAGGATTTATCCAACATGAGACTAACGGATTTCAAAATTGACAGTTCTCGGTCAAACAGTGATTATTTTGAAATACAGAATCCTAAAATAATTATAAACGTTTAATAAATAATACAAAACATATCACATAAATAATAATATTAATACATATTATATTATATATATATATATATATATATATATATATATATATATATATATATATATATATAATATTATACATATACAATATTATATAATATATATATATATATATATATATATAATATTAAATATATATACAAAAGGAACATTTTTATTCTCGAGAGAGGAAGAGAGACAGAAAATAAATCTTCTGTCTCTCTCTTACTCATTATCTTACATATGTAATGGTTTCACAGATTCACTCTCATGCAAATTTCCAACGCCGACCGTGCGTATAGAAGTATAACTTCAAAAAGAGGAAAAGGGAATGGGATACTTACACAAGTGGGTACATTTAAAGAAATGAAAGTTATCTAAATAGCAACAGATAAATAATTAATCGATAAATTAAGAATCGGATCACCGCGCAAAATATGAAGTGACAACATTCCATAGAGGTAACAATCCGCAAATCAATAAGCAGAATTTTTTATCGAGAAGGTGGTCAAAAGGCTATTTAATGTTATATAATTGCTTTGCAACTGAATATTATTTATAAAATTAGCTGATATAAAATGTGTACAATGACATTAAACCCCTTCTCTAAAATGATTTTAATACATGAATATAAGCAAATGACGGTTATGATTTATAGCTTGTTTATGAAGAACGTTGGCTAAATTGGTTGTCCCACATATTGCATTAATACATCAATTAAAGCGTTTGAAAATATTACTTTTGTTTCTTTGCAATTTATATACACAGTGCAGCAATTACGTATCAACATATAAAACTACGCCTTTTTAAAAATGATTATAGATAATTAAATTGTACAATTACGAGAGAGTACTATTTTTTTTTTAAATTTGATGCCGTTGCCGCATATTTAGAATACCTTGGTCATCATTCTCTCTGCCTTTATTCCTAAAAAGGGTCGGGTTATCCAAAGGAGGACAGTAATTTCACAGGTATACTAAATGGAGTAGCCGCAATTCAGGAGCATTGTGATCGTGCACCGTTAGGCAGATCGTTAGCTTGGTGGCCAGACGCTGGCGAGATAAGTAAGATTGTTCGGCACACACCACTGCGGAGAGCTAGTGACCAAGGCCAAAAACCAAAATCACTTAGTCACAAAGTCACTTTAGAGAACAGGCTCTGTTCGACAAAATATAGTGTATAATAAATTTTTGTCCGCTGCTATTTTCAAAAGTATATTTGTATTGTTTTTGTGAAGAAAAAAGTATTATTAATACGTGGTGCTACATAAGTTTGTCAAAAGATAGCTGTTTTCTAATGTTGACACTTGGATGAAGACCGTGTAATCATTATTACTGTCATAACGGAATGCAGCGAGATTTAAATCAGCGTGCAGTGTTCGTCTTGATCGAGCGGTGCTTATTCCATCATTCTGCAGCATTCGTTCCCGTTTACAGTTGTTTCAGACGAACGGGCCTGAGTAGTACATATTCGATCAGTTTCTAACCTCACTTCTCGTTGTTTAGATGATTTAGACGAACGGGTGTCAGCGGCATATACTGCTCGTCTGATTATGAGGCTCGTAATGCTTTTGTCTTCCGTGCTTGAGGTGTAGATAGTCCAATTGCTTGTCGCTTTGGAGGCATAATTGTACGAGACCGACGTGAAAATGCGCTTGAATTTATATGATGTCAATCAGCAATCCGAATCTCACAATGTATCTAATCCAATTGAACCTACTGTTCACACACCGATGGAAGTGTTAATATTGACGATAATCACCAATTCGCTGAGGAAAATTTAAAGTGAAAGAAATCAGCATTCGAGAATTGTTTAAATCGATTTTAATTCCATTCACAATTATATTCCATTAAATTATTTATCTAAATTAATTTAACCCACAATGAAATGCACAAAACTATGCGAAAGACGCTCTCACATATAAAAATACGCACAAAAGTGTCTGTTCAATGTGAGCCGGACATGAATTTGATGAAATGAACTGTAAACGTCATCATTTCTTCGCTGGTTTCGTTTCAATTCAAATCAGCATGAACTGTCACGGCAATATATGAAATTCATTGGAACGACAGTGGCGCCATATATCGAAAATTGGTCGCACCAACTTAGAAACCTTCGTGTGTCATGCACAACAACTTTGCTAAAGATCATCACATGATCAAATGCATAGTTTACGATTCTATAATATATATATCGAATCTTTTATTGACAGATATTCTTTCAATTTAAACCGTCTTAGAGTATATTTAGTAAAAAAAAAATAATACAACGCCAAAAATAAAACACTCATTCTTTATTGTGAGCAAAATGCTCACGCGCGACAAATCAAGTTAATTGTTAGATACCAATAACTGTTGGGTTAAGGGTTTTCTCAGAAGTTGTACTAGGTACTCTATAAAAACTAATCTATATTATAACTTTCAAAAACTTCTGATGCTATATATTACGACGTTCATTATTGTAGTTGGATCCCTTATCGATGTTTAGTACCAATTTATTGCCAGTTAAACGGGATTTTAAATGCCTATTATTATATTATTACTGAATGATTAATAAATTGATTGCTTCATTTAAATTGTTTATCGGCCTTATCAGAGGATATCCTACGCCACAAATATTCACAGATTTTGTCGATGCGGCAATTTCGACAATTAATTATTACAAACTTCTTTATTTTAAATATATTCCTAATATATGAAGTATTTTTATAATTAACTTACTGTATATCCTCTTTTTTAGCTGACTTTGGCGTTTCGGCCAAAAACAAAAATACGCTTCAGAAACACGATACATTCATCGGCACCCCCTACTGGATGGCTCCAGAAGTAGTGTTATGTGAAACGTTTCGTGACAATCCCTATGACTATAAGGTAGATATCTGGTCGATGGGTATCACGCTCATCGAGTTTGCTCAAATGGAGCCGCCCAATCACGAGATGTCGCCTATGAGGGTTCTACTTAAGATACAGAAATCAGATCCACCCAAACTTGAACAGCCTTCCAAATGGTCGAAAGAATTTAACGACTTTCTGACAAAAGCACTTATTAAGGTAAGGGGCTATTTATTTTTGTAGTAAAAGGTGTAAAAGAACTGCTCTCCCACAAGTTGCATTTGTCATCTTCATATCATCTTTAGGTAAAAATTTGAAGCTAAAGCTAAATTTAATCGAGTTGTTTGATGGTAAATGTTCACGTGCGCCAAAGTAACGTGTCAATGTAGTTGAAAAAAGTTAATTGTAAATAAAATTTTATTTTTCCTTGTTTCAGGATCCACAGAAAAGGCCAGGTTGTGAAGAACTGCTGAAGCACCCCTTTATTAATTGTACATTAGACTCAAAACCCGTCCGTGATTTATTATTAGAGTACAAAGCAGAAGTCGTCGAAGAAGATCTTACGGATGACGATCCAGAGGTAAGTTGTTCGCTAATATTTGTTTATATAAACTTCTCACGCCATACCCTTTTGCTATATTGTGCTTTGAAGGCTTGTTCAAAATCTAGGAAAAGCCCATTCACGCCCAAAAATTACTGATAAATTCATTATAGTCTTAATGAACAATGTGCTTTCGATATAATAAAGGTTTAGTTTAGTATTTAGTTTTGAGCAAACTCAAATTTTCCTTCCTCAGACGTTTGTACATGTATATTATTTTTTTATATATAGAAAAGGACGTCGTAATTTCAAATGTTTGTTCCCCCGATCGTTTATGTCATCGTACATATCATCTTCTACTCGCTGAAATTTGTGCAATTTCGTTACGATTTTAAATTTTATTTTGGTATGGTTTCTGTCAAGTCATAACTAATTTTAATATTTACTACTAAAATTACATTTATTTTGTTCGAAAAAAGAAAGCTATTCTTGAATTACAATCGAAAGCTACGTTCCCGATTGTCCACCTTGACTTAAAGAAGATATGCAATCAAAGATCGACTCGAAAAATCTCGGTGACAAATATTTATTTATTTGAATATCTAGTATGGATTTGAATATCTGTTTTTTTACTGTACAGTCTTTCAAAAACTAGCTCTTAATGCTAAACTCCTGTATCTGAGGCTTGGCCAATCATTTTCAGTGCTACTTAACACTTTAACTATATGGTACCATATATGGACATAGGCAATTTTAGTTCTCTGCCATGTGTACATATAATGGACACAGGTTTTATCAACGTTTCAGCCATGTGTCCGGGGCTGGTACATATTTACCGTGTATTTAAATAGGAATACCATTGAGATTGGCATAGAACTAAAAATATCCTGGGATTTTTTTATATGAAAATTAAATATACATCAAGTTTTCTTTTATTTTTATGATAGTACACCATATTATATAATCAAGAGTAACATAGAATATAGTATTTTTTAACTAGAAAATTAAGTACTGAGGGTCAGTTTTGTTGTACATGTTTTAGTTATTTTTTTGTGAAAATATAATCGGCAAAGAAACATTCTAAACACAAAAGGGCTGTCTTTACATCCGTTGCATACACATATTACTCGTTTTCTGTTTTTTACAGTCTAAATTCGACCATGTAGTTCAGAGATTTTTGTTGTAACAAATCGTGCAACTGCCTCTTTTATTCAAAGCATTTTGAGTAAGTTCATGTTTGGTTTGAACTTGTACAGGAAGATTACTACATTTAAAAAGTCGCATGCACACATTTTCTTTGAATTTTGTTACTGACATTTTGCTTTGGTTGATGTTATTGAAAATAATTAGAGCATTCACCCGTGAAGTATCAGTAATAATTTCAAATGCCACTTTTCTGTACCATTTGACAGACCTTCGTAAGCAGTTTGAGTAAGCTGTCTTTTGATCTGACATGTCCATAAACGCTTTTGTGTTATTGTACTCGACAATGGCTGTAGGTTTTCTTTTAGAAAATTCCCACAGCGTTACCTCTATCATATCCTCTCTATGTTTTGTAGACAGAAAAAGTATGTCTCTCTTGTCATGCCATTTCATAACTACAATATCATTTTTACTTTGTTTGGCAATGATCTCCCCTTTCTTGAGTTTGGCTTCTACAACATCTTTGGGAAAAATGTTTCGGTTTTTTTTTCAACGTTCCAATAAGATGAGTGGATCTAGGTTTTAAAATTTTAGCAAGATTAACTGATGTATACCAGTTGTCCGTAATAAGAGTCCTACCCTGAATCAATAAAGGTTTAATCACTTCCATACTACCCTTTCAGGAACCAGTTGTCCATTACTTTTTTCTTTGCCGCAATATATTGCGGGTATACTGTATGAAGTTTCAGTGTAGTTAGTCTCTTTCCAATAATTAAAACGTGACTCTTTCGTAATTGTTTCATTTACTATTCCAATAAGAATTTGTTGCTCTGCATACTTATTTGTTTGGAGGACAATCATATTTATAACATCTTCTTCGTTTTTCAAATGTTCAGGAATGCCAAAGTTCAAAGGACAATCGAAAATTGAAAAATTTCCGGAAACTGGTCCCCAGTTTGAATCTTGTAAAGAATTTTCTTCTGGTCTAACAGTATCTACCAAAAGATCATCATCTTGAGTCAAAGAACTGTCTGATTCTTCCTCCATTACTCGAGATTGACTGAACACGGGATGGTCCTGTAGAAGTATTAGGTTTTACGTCTCCTACAAAAAAATATAGATATATTCGTTCATTTGCAGATAATGCTTACTCTATTTATGCGCAAAACAAGGTTTTGTACCAGTTTAAATGATATATATACGTAAAAAAAATTAAATTCATTTGTGTGAAGTCAATCTAATAGTAAAAAATCGGATTATACAAACTAAAATTTTATTTAAGATTTTAGTGAACAAACCTATTCTCAAAGTTTTCTTTTTTTTTTCGCTTCAGGTTCATTGTCGGATTCACTCGCCCTATATTATATCGTCACGCTGCATATATATATATATATTATATGTAGAATACGAATCCAAATAATCAGAAAAATCATCACTCATGTTCATTTTTCTAAACTCCTCTAATTCACCGGCAGCCTTTTGTGCTTCTAATTGCAACTCTAAATAACGGAGTTGTTTGTTATTGTGCGCTATATTAACTTTTTCCAATCGTGAAGTCGACGATACGCTCCTATCGGAAGAACTGAAACATCTTACCCGTGTCACTCTCTTGCTGGAAAGATAACAGACTATTTCAGACCTTCCGTGTCCATCTTTGGTACGCATGGCCTACATCTAGACGTTAGTAACAATTTTACAATCGCAGGCCGCGTCCACCATATGAGGACACAGCAATTTTTACAAAAACAACCAAAAAACAAATCCGATTTTATGATTTTTGCTAAAAACAAACACAAATAGAGTAATTAAGAAGAAAAAAATATTTTGGCCCAAAAGACCCAGTACAAAATTTACTCTGAATTTACCTGGCAGTTAAAGTGTTAAAGAGTCGTCTTTAAAACTATTTTTCTATTTTCAAAATGTTTATTACAAAAGATATCTGTGCTATTGCCTTATTATCTTCAAAACTACCAATGAATTATTGTCAATCTAACGACTTAGCAATATCAGTCGCTTTTTTTTGTGTTGCGTCAATGAGCGACATTTTCTAGTTAGTAAAATCCACAGAAACCACTTCCGCCTTCGAAAATATTGACGCATTTTGTTACATTCATACCCATTGCATATTTCAAATTAATACAATTGGAAATAATCATTTTCCTTTCAATCGGACACTGGTATATTATTGTGTGTTATACACATCCTGTAACTGTTATGATTTTATTGAATTTGCTGTACAAAAAACCACCATTGTCTGTCTGATTACTCAATTTGTTTATAAACGTCACGAGCTACGTTAACAATGCAATGGTCTCGATTTGAATGTGTAGTAGTATCAAAGTATAAGAATCGAATGAGATTCTGATCAAAATTTAGTTATTTTAAATCAGCAGCACTGTTCTGCAGATGCGAGAAGTATTTATATTTTCTAGGTTTTCTTGTTAAATATCATCCCGAATAACTTTTTTTGTGCTATCAAATGAAATGTATTGCTTTTACTATACTCTTAACGTTTTTGTAAATACTTTCATGCTTAGCGCGGTAGGAAACATCGAAAACACAAAGAACTTTATCAGAGAATTGGTAAGTGCTGTACCATAGAAAAGTCGTTTCTAAGTAATCTTAGATGCTGGTAGTCGTGTATATACCCCTCTTGAAGTTTATACGTGCTTTCAAAAAGAAGTTAGTTTGGAAAGTTAAGTAAAATTATTTGAATGTTGTACTTATATCGTGGTTTAAATATTAGTTTATTTTATATCATAGTTCTACTTAGACCAGGCAAAGATCTTGAAATACCATCAATTACTGACAATCTCCCTGTTGCGCCACCTATTTAAATTATATGAAAGAATGATCTTTAAAGAATTTGATGAATGATCACAGGATCTGTAAAGGCGCGTATTTACTTAAGCAAATTTATTAGCACGAACGGTGTGTGCGCAAATAAGCTCGAGTCAGAACGCGCCTTAAGAGAGTGGATTGTAAACTGGTTGTCAAACAATTGGGATTTAGGTCGGGAAAATAATGCACCAGACCAAGTATTTAAAGGTTTTCTAAAACAAGCAGATAATTGGTATTGCAGTGTTAATCACATGCCTACAATACCGTGAACCAACAAAAAACAACTATGTCAAATAGAACGGGTGGTGAATCTCAAACAGGTCATCGCCAATCAATTGGACATTTTGAACTGTTGAATTCCTGCTTCTCAGCATTAATGTGTCTGTTTCGCCATCTAGTGTTATTAAGGCATCCTGCCAATCTATTTGCTTTTGTACTTGATCTTTCACTTCTTTGCTCAGGTCTCCATAGCTTGACAGTGTAATTCCCAGGTATTTTATTTCCATTACTTGTTCAATACTGATGCCATCAATTTCTTTTTGACATCTGGTTGGTTCTTTGCTGATTACTATTGTTTTAGTTTTCTGAGATGAGGTTTTCATATTAAATTCTTTTGCTCTTATGTTAAATCTGTTGACCAGTCTTTGCAGACTATCTTCATCTTGGGCTATCATCAATATTACGTCGTCTGCGGAACAGAGCATTTTTATTTCTTTTTTCCATTCTGTATCCTCTTCCTTTGTTAACACTTTTGATGATTTCATCCATGACCAAATTGAAGAATGTGGAGCTCAATGAGTCCCCTTGTCTTATTCCGCTGCCCATTTCTGTAAGTTCTGTAAGTTGTCCTTGACCATCTATTCTGACTTCTATTTTGTTGTTTTGGTATATGTTTTCGATAGATTTATAATATTTAGGGGAGCTTCTCTATTATACAGAAGATGGATTACATCTTTGAGTCTTACTCTGTCAAACGCTTTCTTTAGCTCAATCAAACACATAAATGCTGGTCTATTATACTATAGTGATTTCTCAGTAATTTGCTTTATAACAAATATTGCATATGTACACGACCTTCCATTACAAAAACCCTGTTGTTAATCTGCTAAACTTAATAAGTTAAGATAATGATAATAAAAATCGACCTGTTTTTGCAGTGTTTTCACAAAAAAAAAGCGTATTGAAGGTTTTTTTCGTATTCTGTTCCGCATTTTTCGTTAAAAAATTAAAACCAATATACAAAGTGTTCATACAAAACTTTCCACTAACTTCTTTTTGGCCGTAATAGTTGATGTTATCATTGCTTGTTTTTCTTATGCATGCGGCTCTCCGGGTCCCCCTTTGCCTGCTATTAACGCTGAGGTGAGAAACTATTATTTTACTATTTGAATATTGGAAAAATTTCACTATGACAAAATACATGTTTTCTCTTGTTCGTTGAATATTTTCGTACAATTTTAATTTTTACCTAATTTTAATATTATTTTTTTTAACACGTCGAGAGGGTACTTAGTGTCCCTGGCATGGTTTTTTACTTTATTCTTATAATTTTCCCTACGATTAATAAGTGTTACATGTTTCTATAGCTGTTTTGTCCAAAAAATTGTTATTAATTTCTATACATACATTCATATTCAAGAAAAGCAACAATGAAAAAGAATAGAATGGAGTATAGGCCCGGTCATAAATATTAAACGTAAGGAATATCACCAAATGGGAAAGAAGGGCATGGAAATCTACGGCCATTTATCCATTTCCACGGTGCCTTACAGAGGGACTTCGAGCAATCAATTCGAAAATGTCCCATATTTACTTATATGTTTCTATATGGCATTTTCAGATCACTCGGCCAATAGCAACAATCGAAGATGTTGTGAGGCGGGGCGATGGGCATCAGGATGCGTATTAGTCTACGACTAAGGTCCCTGATGACATCCCCCCTCCTTTGAAGACTATGGCTGGAAAGAAATTTATTAAAAACAAACATATTTATAGCAAGAAATCCAATTACGTTAGTACGATAAAAAATTTAGGAAAGTTTATGAAATCAAGTCTGTAATAGTTGGTACATAAAACACAACAAAGCACAGTATCTTCCGATGGTCATTTTCTGCAGGTACCGTTTTCTGTCACAGCAGCCCCGTCTTCGAGGACTTTGTCCTCCTCTAGGTCATCAGGAACCCATAATCATTGGCCAGCCGGTTTCTTAGTAGAGGGTATGCCTGCGCCTACGTGGTGTACGTACCAAATGCAGTAGGGCAGGGAGTGACTCAGCGGTTACTCCGGGGACCTTAGTAGCTTCTGAGACTGGTGGCTTCGATGACTTCTCGATCGCTGAAACCTCCAGCACTGGACGGTGTCAGGAACGGTAGAATATGTCGACGATACAGTTAGCTGCTGGTGTGGAGCTTGTAGGGTAGCTCAGTAAGAGCGTGGGTCGCAAGCTCGAGTTGTTTGTTGGGCGCCATATCAACAAATGGGAAAGAAGGGCTTAAAAAACTACGGCCGCTGTGCCTTACAGAGGGACTTTGACCAATCAATTCGAAGTGCCCTCTGCGTATATTCCATCTTTGGTGAATAATTGATATTTCGATTAGGGAAATAAAATGAAACACAGTTTAGAAGGAGGAAAAGGTTCAGCTACAGGATCTCGAGAGTTCGAAGAACCGGAGCAGAGCCCCGACAACGAACTCCCAGGGTAGAGGAGGCCCTATATGGGAGCCGAGACCAGACTGATCGTGAGTTGAAAATGTCCCATATTTATATGTTTTGATATGGCATTTTCAGATCACTCTGCCAATAACCACAATCGAAGATATTGGCCCCCAGTTACAGGAAATCATAGCTGGTACGAATTTTACAGCTCCTCTATTTTGCCAGAATCAGATTTTCCACTGAAAATAAAGTTTAATCGTATACCTGGCCAACTTACAGAATTAGTGACCACAACCAAGCATTAAGCACCTCTCTAATATGGCAAAGTCTCTTTCGGAGATCAATTTGTCAAACTTGGTATAAATTATGACCGGTAATTAAAATCATTAATTCAAATTGTACATATCCAAAATCTAAACATTTTCCCCCTATTTTAAATCCGAGTAGATCGGCGCTCGATATAAGCTTGTAATTACTAGTGCTAAGCTATTTTAGTATGAATAGAGCTAAAGCAGTCATTGCTTTTACCTTCAGCGAAATACAAAGGCAAATAATTAAGGGGACTGATTAATTTTTACATTTTAATAACGATGTTGATATCATAAAAGGTAATCGATGTCTTATCACGTACGAAACTCTACTATTAATACAGTCTTGATCATACATTTACAAAATGTTAAACGAACTATTAGAATTTTTGAATAAATACGAAATTTTGCCATACGTTTTATTTAACATTGTCATTTTCGTCAGTTTATATGTTGTGGGAAAGATTTTATGTAGTATTTATTATATATTGGTAAGTTTTCGCCTTCATCCTATTGTTTGCTGTTCTTTTTATGTTTTTTGTATCTTACGGTTGTATTTTTTAGGACAACCGAACGTCTCAAGTGCCTCTGGATATCGAAGATGATTCTACATCTGTAAAAAGCAACGAAGTTGATAATAAAGGTAAGTTTTCATTTTATTACGTATTACCATCGTGTACCCTTATCCTTTGAGAACTTTAACTCTGATCTACTTACAAATATATTGATGCTCATTGCACACTATGCATATATGTTTGGAGTTTGGTTGGCGATTGCGTACAAAGATTTTTGATCTACGAACGTTTCATGCCGTTTTTGAACAGATTACATACTTCTTAATCCGTTCAAATTTTCGGTAGGACGAAAAAGGCTGTAATAGGCTGTAATACTCCTTACGCTCCCGAGCCTACATTTTTTTGAATTTACAGATACAATTTTACCATAGTACTTATTAATACGTTATTAGAAATCCTGATTTTTCTTGTAAACAAAAATTGACAGTTAAACAGGATTTCAGGGACGCTCACGATTGTTTTATATGGAGTCAAAATGATATTAGCACAATAATTGTTAGAACAAATAAAAATATTTTGAAACTTTTTTCTGCAACCAGAAGTATTTGTTTCACAAGTTGTGTTGTTTGTGTTGTGTTATGCTGAAGACAAGTGTTAGGATTTTGCTCATCTTCATGTACTGGCCAGTGATCAAATCCATTAAATCTTATATCCTCACAAATAAAAATATTTTGAAACTTTTTTCTGCAACCAGATGTGTTTGTTGCAAAAGTTGTGTTAATTGTGTTGTGTTGTGTTGAAGACAAGCGTTAGTATTTTGCTCATCTTCATGTACTGGCCAGTGATCAACTCCATTAAATATTTTATCCTCACAAGGTAGTGGCGTATATTTTACCGTATTTCTTCAGTTTCATCCATAGGAGCGTCTTCATAATTTATTTTTCTCCTTTTTTTTACAAATAAATTCTAATAGTGGTACTCGAACACAGAAGAAATTTATTTACCTCATGGCTACTTCACCCATTTTGGGGCTGGAATAGATTTTTCTTGGCTGATGCTAGCCCTAGGTATTCCATCGTTATTGCTACTGCTATCCAACTCTTTATCTCTCTGTAAAAAGTCATTCGAAGGGCAAAAAATTCATCGTCGTTATCGCTTTCTACATCCATATCTGACTCCACTACATCAAGGAGTTCATACATTTGATCTGGATTAGCTGCAAGCTTTTCCAAGTTCAGTGCTCTATTAGATCCAACAAAAAGTGGCAGCCGTAGCTGTAACTATTTTACTAGCTTAACAAGCTGGAGGGTCGGGGTTCGAATCCCGATACCGACAAAATTTTCAATTTCTGATTTAACTGAGCTGCCACCGTGCTTCGGATGGCACGTAAAGTCGTCGGTCCCTGCTACGAAAGTAGTCGTTAAGTCATGTTAGGGGCGCTTTCGCGACGTGAAAACCCTTTAGACCTTAGCCAAAATGTTACACGAACTTTACTTTACCCTACAAAAAGCAAAAGTATTACAGCACTGATCTCGTCTTTTCTTGTTGGCTCTCGGTCGTTACATTTGCCATACCACCTCAAAGTACGCGCATTAAAAAAAGCCTAATTATCACGTAAAACAATGCGTTTTTTAAATATCTTTACAATCAAAACCATGTTTAAATTAGTTTTAACTGAAATCTACCTTTATTCGCCATCACAATTCGCAAAAACAGAGAAAAACAATAAAGCTGGTATTGCGACCTCGAATGCCAACGTAAATATGGGAACTAAATGAATCACGTGCGATGAAGTTGATATAAAAAACTTTTAATTCATGTTTTACGTATTAATAAGACCCTGACAATTGCGACGTCCCGGAACGAAAGTTATACACTAGGCATCACAGCAGGGAAAGAGCACTTCTCCAAAGAAAAAATTGAGATTTTAACTTTAACTTGTAAACCTATGGGCTGATTGGTCTCAAATTTTGACAGCTGACGTTTAAAAATGGGCACTTTATAAACCATATAGATTTGTCATTAGTGACGCCATCTTTAATCGTCATTAATACTCGCACTAGCTTTGTCTTACAGAGTTTTAGTTTCAAAATCAACAGGTTTCATTGTGTACGAGCCCCTTCCCATATCAGTTGGCCCAACGTTAGATTGATAAGAAAGTTAAATTTTAGATAACAAAATAAAAGCGCGGCGTAAATTTTAGAAGTTTTAATGCATTGAACATCATTTTTGAATTTCCTAATTATAGGAAATATTTTATAACGTAATGAAAACTATTGATTAAACAGAATAATAATAACTTTTAAAAAACGCATGGAATATGTAATTTTAACAAAAAAAAAATGTGAAAGTTTACCACTGAGTTACATCCTCTTTATTTTTACTGATATCCGCAATTCTTCAGTTTTTACCAAGTTCTGATAAAATTCTAATGTAAACGAATCCCATATTTCTTAAAATGTTTCCTTCAATTCGTTGACGGACCTGGTAGGATGGTCTCTCAAAGTTTTTTCATTTCGCGTCACAAAGTCTCTATAGGGAGCAAGTGGGGATTGTTAGAAACCCATTCCAGAAGAGGTGTGCCATGGTTTTCAATTCATAGATCTAAACTCTTTTTTGAGGTATGACAACCTGCGCCGTCCTGTTGCAAGACAAAATCTCCCGCTGATGTTAAACGGTGTTTAGGTGACAGGCTGCCCCAGATCATGACAGATGCAGGAAATTTGACTTTTCATCCAATCTTTATGATCTTTTGATCATCTTAGTCTATTTTTTTGTTGTAATTTTAAAAGTGGCTTTTCCTTAGCTTAAAATAAAATGAAAATTATTAAAAACAATTCGTACCAATTTTTCCAACTATAAAACTTACTTTGTAACTACCTAATCCTAATTTGTGGGCCTCTCGGTGACATGTTGATCTAGAAACGTGTCTTCCAATAACGTCACTCCATAATACGCTTAACTCCATATAATTTGTTCGTCGATTTTTCACTATAATGCGTCTTAATGCCCTTCGATCTGTTTCGGTTATTTTACTTTTTCGTACATTTCTAGGTTTTGTGACGAGCGAACCTCTAGTTTGGTATCTTCTGACTATATTTATTACACTATAGCGTCACAATTACAACATATTTGCGATTTCCGAATTGAATTTTCCAGAATTAAAAAATCTAATAATGATTGAACAAATTTTCTCATCGATAACTTTACCTCGACCCATTGTACAATCCACAAAGGGCAAAAAGTTTTAAAATACTGCAAAATACATTTGACATTAACTAACAATAATTATTATTGTTTTGATGTCATTTTTCCATAGCTACCTCTGGATTTAACGTAATTATGAAAACATCAGCGTATGTTGATATTATGTGAATGCATATCCAGGGTTAAGTGATTTTTTTATTGTTGAAAATAAATAAAAACCATGAGGGTAATGTTTTTAATAAATATTAATAAAAATGTCATATTATTTAATATGGGAACTTATAAAAACATGTAGAGGATAATTTGTTTATGGTAATCGACTTGAACTGCAAATTCCATAGGTGGGCAAACCTATATGGGAAGGGGCTCGTATTCTGTGAACGATTTTTAGAATCTGTGGATCCTCTTTAAAACAATCAACATCCTGCTCTATAAACAAACGTTTAATGTTAGATGTTTACATAATCTGTGTAAAATGTGTGTACAGTCAGTTATTGAATCACCATTACGTTTACAAGAAGCAGTCTCAATGAAAATTCTTGTTTTATGATATCGATAATAGTTAGAACTAGAATTATTAACCTGTTGTAACGTTTTAAATATATTTTCCAGTTCCTGAACCCGTCCAAACATCTCCAATACCAACACAACCTGAAACAGCTACCCAGAAAGAAAAGGAAGCAAAGAAACCAACAACTGCGGAAGAAGATCGGCCTAAAACAGCTACTCCAGCTGTGGCAGCATCACAAAATGAGAAAAAACAAGTGAGTATATTTTTTGCCTTTGTCTATTCATTCTACGCATTCTAAAATTACCAATTGAGGCGATAGCTAGAAGAAGGGCCTATCTGCTAAAATTGTATTTTGAGAAACAAGTATTAAAATATTTAACATCCATGCTTAAGGTGAACCGACACTTGCATTGTTTAAGTGTTTTAGTTTTAAGAATTTTCGATCCATTGATAAAATAATACAGAACACCTTTATAAAATGTCCTTTTTTTCTTTTGAAATGAAGAGTATTAAAGCAAGTTTACAAAAGCCCTTCTTGTGGAGAACACATTTGACAGATTGAAACGTCTTCTGCAGAAGAAAGGCCTATAATTTTTACTGTTTTATAGTATTCTACAGTTATATATTATAGTACACAAAGGTTTAAAATAATAATCAAGTCCTTTGTGCAACAAGAAAACCTTTATTTTTTTACACTACATTATATTTAATATAATTTTATGCTAAATTTCATCACCAGCTGAGTCATTAGCACTATTCTCATTATCATTTTCAGCTGGTGTGCTTTCTTGAAATAAAAGTTTGTAAAAGTTTCTACGTTCTTCTCTTAAGTACTGAAAGAAGTTTCTCACGTCTTTTATTTTAGATTGATTAATAAAAACCAGAGCAAAGCTGTAAGAGCAAGGTCAAGTGACAACGTTTTTGCGTATTTAAAAGGGGTATACATTTCATAGTAGGTTTTAGAAGCAGCCAGTATCCCACAAGGTTTATACTTCAGCACGCGATACTGTTGTATTTTAAACTAACAATCTTTATTTACAGGCTTCTTAAAAAAAGTAAGGAAGAAGTGCTGCATCCCAGTCATATATTATAGAAGAGTCATGTTTAAGGCAGAAAAGAGGAGTGTATCTGCACTGTATGTTTTTTCTAGGTAGGCTTTGGGTTCCTCGACATCTTGAACCTTTTTTTATGTCTTATAACCCCAAAATTTCTGTCGTACTGACGAAAGAAGTGTGCACGAACAGGATAAATATGTGTCACTTCGACTCTGTATAGTTTTGATATCCAAGAACAAAACCGTAACAAATTTTTATTTTGGCCTTCAGCTGCATCTGATAAAAGAACAATATGCTTGGTATTGGGATAATCTGCTAAATTATTGTGAATACAGTCAAAGATGAATGAACCAACACTACTTGCTCCCTTTTTACATTGAGATTCTATGAAGGAATATACATATGATGATTCATCATTATGCACGTGTATATTGAATACGTACATCCATAAAAATCTTTTATGGATACGGATTAATCAATACGGCATTCATCATTTCGGTTTTTTTGTAGTTTGATTTCATAATCACGACAATAATCACATGTGTCAGTCCTCGGTTTTTTGAACGTAAAATTAGTTTCCCTGGAAAATTTGAAATAGGTCTTGTATTTCATGGTAAGATTATTCCCAGTGGTGTTTTAAAACAACTTTTGAAACTGCTTAAAAATGTTCTTAATCGTTAGGTCTGAGTTGTCGAAGTACAATCTGTTGCTTTTTCCACATGTGTAATGACTTTTGAAACTGCTCAAAAATGTTCTTAATCTGTTAGTTTTTCCAGGTGTGTAATGACTTGGTTTATGTGGAATAGATTTTAAATGTTCTAAAGCCATAGAATAAACATCATCTGAAATTTTTCTTTGGATTCCGTATTTTCCACGTTTTTGATCAAGTGGAGTTTTCGCAACAATTGTTTTCTGTAATATTCTTACACGCTTCACTCCTACTTGATAAAAAAGGAACGGCACACTGGAACATCACGACCAGAAGTTTTAAGCTTGTATTTCCAGTAATACTGTCGCTAATTTTGGGATTTTCTATCTTTCTATACCTTTCTCTAGGCAGTTTAAAATATAATATAACCTCAATCACATTGTCAGAAATTCACCAAAACAGAGTTGATTTAGAGGCACAAATTTTTCTCAGCTGTGCCAACACTTCACTAAAAAAGTATTGTACCAACGTAAATAACCGTAATATTGTAGAAAAAATTGGTAGATTGACAAAGAACAACATAAAGACTTCAATTGTGTGTCTCCGGAAAATGTGCCATAGGCCTATAGGCCCGTATTCTAGCCACCGCCTCAATTTATCTACTCTACAAATTATTATTTGTCTGGCTGCCTTTAAGCAACTCACTTTAGATTTGATTAACTTGCTCTCTTGGTGGCAAATGTTTGATAAAATGGACACAATTATAAAGCTAATACTTGAATTACTATTATACTACTGTACAAATGTTAAAATACTAAACTTTAATAAACTTTTTGTGAATGTTTCATATTAAATGTAAAATTTACAATTATTGAAGGAGCAAGTGGGCGACAGGCTATATTGCAAAAAGTTGTTTGTGAGAAAATTGCATGAATGAAGATTGCTTGTAATATTTAAAAACAACCCGATTATTACTTTTAAAATGATAAGGAAGACATGATAGAAATGACTGACCCAGTTGTTTGCAATTTACTTTGAAACGATCTAAAACATAAAATTTGCCAGGAATATCCTTGCACACTTCATTTGTTGTATGTTTGCTAATTAATAAATTTTTTGTAGGTTGATAAAAAAGAAGACAACCAAAGAAAACCATCGCGCGACAAGGGTAAAGCTCCACCGCCTCCACCGCTTCAAACACAACAGTCCACCAGCTCAACCTCATCAGATAAAAGCTCGCCTCTTCCCGAAAAAGAGAAAGAAAAATCACCCGCGCCGCCTCCACCTCCGATCCCCGTCGCTTTTCCAACCCTTCCAACACCGCCATCGTCTCCGATCACGCCGCCCGATACACCGCCCGATGCTAGTCCGCCTCGTGTCCAAGACTTCCCACCGCGTGTTCAAGAAGAGGTCAAACCTAGCGATAGTCCTATACCGCAGCCATCCACCTCCGAGGAACCCGCTCCTAGTAAAATCTTAGAGAAACAACGATCTGTAGAAAAGGAAAAAGTCGATGAAATCGACACCACGGTGAATGTAACTAAACCAAAAGAAGATACAGTCGTGAATGTAGAAGAAGATAAAAAAGAACCTACGGTTAATATCGCCGAAATCAAAAAAGCTTTAGAAAATCATATAGGAAAAAGGTATTCAAAGGAAAAAATCGAACAATCTGCTCCGTTAGATAATGATACTAAAGTGGAAGATGTGCCTTCGGACAAGATCGGCGATATTGTTACCGTTACCAGCTCCAACGCTACTACACCTGACGATAGCTTAAACCTTATCATGGTGTCTACTCCGCAGTCCGAAAGAAACAAAAATACCTCCACGATCACTATTAACTCCAATTTGCCAGATACGTCGAATAGTTTAGCCTCAAATATTAGTCAGGTAAGATCATTATTATCGTTATATTAAGGTAGTTTCTGCTGGAGTTTGCTGGCAATTTAAAAACTGTAAGCTTTATAAATTTAATATACTCTGGATAACCATTTTTATAATTGTGTGCAAATTATTGTAGCCTGAACGATTTTCTAACCCTCAAAACCAGGTTGAAAAGCTACAATTAAGATTTCGACTTCCTGTTTGGAGTAATCAGTCTTTATGTCCCATCCATACTTGTAATTCATATTACAAGTATACCGAATAAGATCCTCACTTCGTTTCCATTAACATTTTTCTGGTAGTATGCATTATTGTTGCTCGACCGATGCTTTAATTCCCCCAAACAGAGTTGAATCTCTACAATTTTGGCTACTTCAAGCATTCGACTTCTTTTTGGAGTCATTAGGACTTGGTGTCCATGGTTTCAATCTAATTCACACCACAAGTATTACTAGTGTGCGTATCATCCGAACAAGGTTCTCAATTGGCGCTGTTTGTTTGTTTAAAACATTTTTCTAGCGATGTGTAAATAATTTTTCTAGCGGTGTGCAAACTATTTTTGCTCAATGGATGCATTAATGCTTTAATTATTATTTTTTAACCGATGTTTTAACCTCTGAGACCCGGATGAATTTACAGTTTTGGCTACTTCAAGAATTCGACTTCATATTTGGAGTCATCAGAACTTGTTTACACCACAAGTATTATTAATGTGTCTTTAGTCCGAACAAGGTCCTCAATTCGTGCCGTATGTTTGCTTAAACCGCTTTTCTAGCGATGTGCAAATTATTCTTACTTTACCGATTTTTAACCCTCCAAACCCCTTGAATTTTTACAGCTTTAGCTACGTCAAGCATTTGACTTACTTTTTGGATACATTAGGACTTGGCGTTCCATGGTTTTCAATCTGTTAGCTTTCTAGATCATATTCCAAATATTATAGGGTGGCTTTAAAACTAATAAGGTTCACAGTTTGTGCTGTTTATTTGCGTAAACATTTTTCTGAAAGCTTGCAAATTATTGTTGATTGAACGATGTGTTAACCCTCCATATAGGGTTGAATATCTACAAATTTGGTTTTATCAAGCGTTCTATTTCCTTTTTGGAGTCACCATTTCAGTTAACTAAAAATACAGTCTCGCCAAAAGTTTTAAATTTAAGAGAAATTAACATGTCTAAAATGATTGGCCGCTTTACCACCTTTCCACTCGACCTAAGAAGTCTATTGTGGCTTCCACAATTGTCACCATAATCTCAGTCCACTAGTATCCAAATTCAAATCAAAAGCACTGGACGTGTGTCTTTAGTACCAACAGTCATCAGTTCGTGCTATTGTGACTGCACTAATATTTGGGCGAACTTCAAAAAATAAAAAATTGAATAAAAAGGTGTAAAATATTTTACCAATATTAACTTTTATTTATAGGTTACGGTGGTAACGACCCATCCACCTGTAATAATCGACAATTCTCTTCCTCCCAGAGCTTCCTCGTCATCTCCCAGTAATAATAGTACAAGCGAAGTAGTGATCGTAGCAAATGAAACCAACAAGACCCACATAGAGTCTTCCGACGACGAATTTTGTCCTTCGTTGGATTCGCTGGAATATCCGCCGCCTTCCGAATTCAGAGACAAGCCGCTCAAAGCGAAGAAGCTGGACGAAAGTGAGGTTATGATTACTGATTCTAGTTACGTTATTAACGATTCTGGTTTAGATGTGTCGGAAAATAATTCCAGGCTTTTGGACACCAGCCACGTGTCGGTTGTGAAGATAGACGAAGAAAAAGTTCAAGTCAAAGACTCGACGTCCTACCTAAGCGATAAATCCACTGATTATCGAGGATCTACAAGCGATTTGTCGAATACATCATCGGGGAAAACGAGTAGTACAAAGAGCGAATACGGAGACGAATTTAAAGGTACTCACATCATTTTGGACGGTTCCAACGTGGAAAAACTCGACGGCAAACCTAAGATGAACGGACAAGTTGTCAATGCTAGCAGCAAGGAAGATATTTATAAAAAACCTTTCAATGGAAAATTGTATGCAGAGAGTTTCGAGTCGGCAATGTCAGATAGGTAAGTTGTATTCTCTATTGTAGCTAAAAAAATTAAAAAAAAAAACTTATATCGTAAAGTGACCTCACCTTCCCAACTCGGTATAAACAAAACATAAACGGAAATATTTCTGTTTATTTCACGTGCAATATCTAATAGGCGGAATCAAGACCAAACGTAAACAATTTGTGTTAATATAAACAGACTAAAAATGTTTATAATATCAATCTCAGCGACGCGAACAGATTATATTTTTCGGTGTTTTAACATATACGAGGTAAAACGATATGCTACAAGTATATTAAAAAAAAATGAAACTAACATGTTGTTTTCTAAATTTTTCTTAATTACTACTTAATTTTTCTGTAATCTAGGTCTCACAGTGACTGTGGATCAGTACGAAGCAACGATTCTCATAGGAGACCCATTTCCGGAGCCAGCAAAAGTATTGAACAATCTGATATTGAAAGTATCTCTTTAGCTAGTCAAGAAAGTAGGGGAAGTACTGAGAAGGACGAAAAACGGTTCTTACCAAATGGTAAGTATTCGCAATATTTACTAATATGAAAGTAGTTCAAATATTCTTTACTTTTATATATAATTGCCCATCCTATGTTTACTTCACATATAATATTTCTTTGTCATTACTCTAATTTGTTTAATCTATTGATTAATAGATTCAGGTATACGAGGGTTGCCTTTTTAGTTTTGCATATAATAACCATAAAGACAAAAAATATATAGTCATAATTGCTTTTCAAAATATGTCATACCAAGATCGACGCACATTTGCATACGTTCAAACCAATTGGTAAAACAGTTATTCCAGTATTCAGTTGACACCTGCAAAATTGCTGTTTTAAAGGCATCGATGGCTTCTTCGATGTTTTGTAATTCCAAAATCTTTATTGTCTTTTGGGCAGTGTGAGCACTTGTATTGTTTGGATGTAGGATGATTCGCTGCTGTGTGTTGGTTTGTCGGAGTTTCGTGATAACTTCTGGTAGACAAAACGTTATATACCAATCAGAAGTAACCCTCATTTGATCTTCTAAAGCAATTGTTGCATATGACCAGATTTTGGCACAAAACTTGACTTGATTATTTTCTTTGACACACTTCAAGAACGGATCACTTTTGTTGGTTTTTCCTCATTGTGAAACTCCCATACAGCGGATTGACGTTTATTTTCCGGTTTAAATCTGGAGTAAATCCAAGATTCATCGTCCCTAAGAATACTATAAACGTTTTTTGAGCTTCCTTTGTTGAACCGTTCCAATGTTTTTTAATACCAATTGACGCGAACCGCGTTTTGATCTTCTGTGGGCAAATGAGGAATCCAACGGGAAACTAACTTCGTAACACTCAGTTCACCATGTACGATTTTTTGGATCGAGGTCTTTGAAATACCAAAAGATGCCTCTATCTCCTGGTATGTCCTGGAAACTCTCGATTTATGTTAACAAAAGATTAAAGTTACATTTGTGTCGGAAAGTTTTATGGGTGGCGCCCTCTAAGCGGCTATATGCAAAAGTAAAAAGACAAACCTCGTGTTTATAACAGCTGGTAATCTTAATAATTTTTCTGTGAAACTTTATTTGACCTCATATAGTTTTAAAAATCGTAGACTTTGTAGAGTTGCTATTTTTTTTCCTTTGGGCTTCACCATTAAGTTTAGATGCTCCTTTTGGCTATGGTGCTGTTTCTTTTCGTTTTTGCTAGCTCCCTGGAAGTCTTCAAGTTCAGATGTAGTAATGGTTTACAAGCTTCTTGGGAAGTTTACCATGTAGGTGCTGAAAAGAGCGTTGCTATAACTATATAATTACACTTAAAAAACCTTTTCCAGTTTTAATTTTGTGTTTTTTCTTTGTCTGAATCCAAAGCCCCTCTCGAAGTGACGTATGTCATTTGTCAATTCTTCTTTTTATGTGCTTAGGATGACGGTGACGTATTTCATTTGTCAAGTCTCATTTTTATGTCCTTTTGACGATTTTACATTAAACCAGAATTCTTTCCCGTTCTAATTATGTTTCTTATCTGAATCCAAAGCCCCTTTGGTAATCACTTTAAATTCTTAATTTTTATGTCCTTCAGATGACGATGAAGTATATCATTTGTCAACTTTCATTTTTATGTTCTTTTGATGATTTTGCAATAAAAAAACTCTTTCCAGTTCTAATTCTATGTTTTTTTCTTGGTCAGAATTCAAAGTCCGTTTCAAAGTGACGTATGTCATTTGTCAATTCTTATTTTTTAAGTCTTTAAGATGAGGGTGCGTATTTCATTTATCAATTATTCTTTATTTCATTTTTACGGTTTTACATTAAAAAAAAAACACGCTTTTCATTTATAATTCTGTGGTCCTTCCTTGTCTGAATTTAAAGTCCCTTTTATAGATGGCGGTTGTTGATTACAAATGACGTATGTCATTTGTAAATTCTTTTTTTTTGTGTCTTTTTTTATGATTTTACACTATTATGCCTAAAACGTTGTATCTTTTTCACTTCTTTAGTCTAACATTGTATATTTTTTCCATTGTTGTCTTATCTACTTATTTTCTCTACTTGTTTTCAGATATCGAGGAGAGCGATGACGCCGCAGTTGTGTTACGAAAGCCTCCAAAAACCAAGTTAGAAACAATAGCAATGCAAAACCGTAAGACGAGAAAAAGAACTAGAAAATTCGTAATAGATGGAGTGTTAATAACGACCACTACAAGTAAAGTAATATACGGTGACGAAGATAACTACAATCTGAGTGATCCGCACAGCGACAGGAAACAAGAACTCAGAGAACTAAAGTACTTGCAAAAGCAAGAACAAAAGCAGTTCCAAGATCTTGCCACTAAAGAACAAATAGCCATAGAACAACAGGATAGAAAGTTCGAACAGGAACGACAGAACCTGGAGAGAACGTACGAAAACGACCTGGAATTGCTAAGTCGGCAGCAGAGGTTGTTGATAGAAAGAGCCGAGGCGCATCAAGACGCCGATCTTCGAGCTACCTCTAAAAAGATTCGAGCTGAACAGGAGAGGGAGTTGAAACAATTTAGGGAAACCCTTAAAGCGGAACTTAGATTACTTAAATACGAGATAGATTTGCTGCCGAAAGAACGACGCAAAAACGAATTCAAAGTCAAGAAAGATAAACTAGATGCCGAACATCTTGAAAGGGAAAAATCATTTTTAGAAAAATTAAACGAGAATCACGAAACTTCTTTGAGAAGGCTCAGCGATTCGCATAGGGAGAAAATTGCTCTGATGGAGCGACAGTTCTTGCAACAGAAACACCAATTAACTCGGACGAGAGAAGCGGCTCTTTGGGAATTGGAAGAGAAGCATATACACGAAAAACACCAGCTCATAAAGAGACAGATTAAGGAAATTTTCATACTACAGGTACGTTAATTATAGTATTAAACTCAAATGTCCTTAAGATTAAGCTATAGCTACGTTCTGGAAACTAGCAATCACATAATACATAAAAAATAATCTTCAATAATGATATTTTTACAGAGGCATCAAATGTTAACCAGGCACGAAAAGGAGAAGGAGCAAATAAAGAGGAGAGCAGCGAGGAAGGAAGAGGAGTTGCTTAAGAAGCAGCAAATAGAAAGGAGGTCGTTACCAAAGAGGATACGGGCAGAAATGAAAGCCAGGGAAGCCATGTTCAGGGAATCAATGAGGATATCTATTTCCGGAGCTAATGATCCCGACTTAGAAAAAAATAGGTTTAAAGAGGTAAGGTAATATTATTATACAATTATTCCTTTGCACCATTCTTTCTTATTTTATATCTGTACCAGTGGTTTTGCCCGTCACCATGCAACGGAGGCTCCAATCATTTGTCATCTACAATCACTTCACTCAATTTGTTCTATATTTTATTCAAGTAATATGTTTCAATAAATAATTGTTTTACTTTTCTTGGTGCGTATAGTTTCAAGAGAAGGAGAAAAAACGTTACCAAGCAGAGCAGCAACGTTTCGAATTGAAACACCAACGCCAGCTCGAGGAACTGAGAGCAATGAGCGATGCGACCATCAAAGAGCTCGAGCAGCTTCAAAACGAGAAACGAAAGATGCTCCTCGAACATGAACATCTGAAATTGAAGCAGCGGGAGGAGGCTTTCAGCGTGGAGTTAAGAGAGTGGAAGGCAAAGTTGAAGCCCAGGAAACAGGTATGTTTGAATATGATTATAAGAAATGGTAGTTGCCGTATATACTTTTTTGAATTGATTATGAGGTCAAGGAAAGTAAAATTCAATAAAGTATGTTGGTTGGTGTTGTGTTACTTAAGCTTTACTAATTTTTTCATTTATTTTTCGTACCATTTTAGGTGTGAGAATTTTTATTACTGTAACCTAATCGTAGTTGAAATTTGAACAGTAAATATGTCTATTTGCTTTATGAATACCGCTGTTATTAAATATCTCGTTGGAATTAAGCCACTGTGTTAAAATAAACTACACATTTGACGTTTTGGACGATTTTTTTGCACAAATATGTGTCGCCAAAAGGTGTAATATTAGTTTTTTTGATATTGCAAACGAAATATTAAAATTAATGACGTTCCCAAAGATGAACAATAATTACTGTGGTTTACAGAAGAAAATAGTCTCCAAGGCACAAACATTAGCTCAATTTTTACCTTCGAGGTCGTTTAAAATTGTATTATATTAAAACATAAAAAAAGAAACATATATATTGTTTGCTTTTTAAGTGGAGAATATTTGTGCCGCTAATTAAAAGTTAAGTACACTTATTTGATTATTTTTCTCATGCTACAACAATTGACCGCCTATTTTTCCATCGTCCAAGAAGAACAGATAAAGAGCACCCAAATTAAACATTGATCCGGCTCGAAGGACCAAGACGTAGGGAGACCATACTACATTTTATCAATAATAATTAATATTGCAAATAATAGTTGTAGCAAGAACTATACAAAAGATTATCAACCGTTAACCAGTTTTTTAATAAATAGGAAGAAGTAAAATGCGTTTAAAAATTAGCAAAAACAACAAGGAAAAGCTGTACTTAATCTTTTCAATAAGAGAACGATAAGAGAAGCCTAAAGAAACGTAACCAATAGAAATGATGTCCTAAGCCTTCATGCAACATAGAAATAGTCTATTACAAAACCCAACATTCAAATTCCCAAGAAAAAACCACAGCCAGAAAAGCAAAAGCGGTGGTAGAAGTCAACCCTATACACTACTCGATTGATATGCTACTTTTTATCGAAAACCCACCAATACCAATAGTTACTTGCATGCCAACTCTCATCATCCCCCTTCACAAATTAATCCAGTCATTAATACGCTTGTCTCCAGATCAATAGGCATTTGCAATAATGCAAGTAGTCCTTCTGAGCTCGCTAGTTGAAAACAAGCCAGCAACCAAAACAGTTACCGTCAAAATCACATCAATAGGAGCATCCACAGGCATAAATCTTCCACTCAATCTCAACCCAAAGACTCAGACCCTCATTATAAGAAAGCTTTTCTACCTTACATCAATGGTGTCAGTGACAAAATCGACAAATTCAAAAATCAAGAGGAATAAAGACAATATTTACTCCACAACAAAAACTTTCATCTCTTGTCTGATCAATCAAAGACAACATTCCAAATAAACAACACGGAGTTTATTAAATTCTTTGTGTAGACTGCCCCCTATCTTACATAGTCCAAACAAATCGTAGAATCCAAAATAGGATTTATGAACATTCCATTTCTGTTTGCAATTCCGACTCAATTTCATCTCTAGGTCAACACTATCTTCATACAGGTCACAAAATTGATTTTGAAAACTCCAGAACCATAGCCCCATCCGCTTCTATAAACCAAGAATTATCCGAGAAGCCATAGAAATTAAAAAAAGGCCAAATCGTCTCAATAAAAGAGATGACGGCATACTTTTACCTTCGACTTGGAGACAAAATACCGTCCGCTCCATTCGTCAATCAAAATACTACTGTCAGAAATGTTCGCGCCAATCTCCGCGTCTATCCCCACGCTGGTCCCCACGCCAACCTCCACCCAAGCCACGTCATCATCTACGATATAAATGAACCGTCCTCTATTCCCAGCACCAGTAATCAATTGATTAGTGATCAGTGTAGTAGTGTCTGGGGGCTCGAGATACTGAGACTTCGGAATCGCTGAAGAAAACATCGAAGATGATGTCGAAAGCTCGGCACAATGATAATCGACGCGGTTCAACCCGGAAGACTGTTGAGTATATGTATATTTTTATTTAAATTCAATAATACAGTAGTAAAAATTCTCATTGTTGTACATAGTTGTTCATATTAAACTCTACTAACACTGCACCACTTCTTGTAGAAACTCGAAGAAGACATGTACAAAGAAACATGTTCGGCGAAATATATCAGTATCCTCCCCAAAATTTTTCTCCCGGAATCTGGCTCTTCGTCGACCGATAACGTACCCGACACCGCTAATAGACCAAGTCTTGTCGACGATAAGACGCCATCGTCGGTACCATCGAGCCCTTTCATTACAGAAGGTCCCAGGCCCAGCTGGGGCCATCAGAGGACATGGAGCACTGGGATAATATCGGAAAAGAATTTCGCTTTTCGTTCGCAGTCTTCGAAAGATGATTCCGCAGCTTAGTTGTGTATTGTCTATATCCCTTTTTTGGTTTGTTTCTTTTTCGTTCTTGCTCGGTAGCAGTCGATCTAGTTTTTGCCTAAGAGAGAAGTTAGAGAGGCACTTGGAAGCGTACTATAATTTAATTTTTAGTTTTAGTTGATAAAATTTGCAATATGCTTTTGAATTAATTAATAAAATAATACAAGTACCTGAAAATTATATATTTTATTAAATCTTAGGAGAATTTATATATATTTTATTTATAATTAAAGAGTTTATAGCAGTGTAGACTGCTATTTGTGAGCATTGCGTTATGTAATGAAGTAATAGATTTTTATAAAGACTGGTCTTGCGATATTTTTGAAATCACCTTATATTTTCACTGAGGATCGAATCCGGAATCCAACTGGCCCTCAAATCGATACAAATAATTATTTTTAGTAGTAGTATTGATTACACGTACTGGCGCAGTGATCCAATTCCTTAATAGTATAATTCTGTTTTTGTAATACGATGGTGTGACCTTAATCTAGCGTAAGTACGATTTTTGTCACTTTCTGTTGCAATTAACTCAATAATTTGTTCAAGGTTTTGAAAATAGTGTGCAGTTTCGGCTATAGTATCGTCATTCATTGCAGAAGGGGTATTTTTTTAAGTCTAGGAAGAGAAATTAGTCACGCATGACTATATCTGAAGAAGATACTAATCCGATCCCAATTGGAGAACTGCAGAGACGTTTAAATCCGTGACTAATAATCGCGCAATCCGAGAGATGACTTGTGGACAAATATATTGTTATACATGAGAATTTACAGCTAGATTACAATATACAAAATCTACGAAATATGAGAGAAACACATGAGACGATAATATTAACACCAAAATAATGTTGGGAGTTACTCATATAAACATTTACAATAAAAGAAGAGAAAAACTCTTAGAAAAACATGACGTACAAGAAATAGTCATGTAACAAGGGACAATGGCGCAGTCAATTAAAAATATGGACCGCAACGAATAAATTTTTTTTCAACTGTCTCGTAGGGATTGAATGTGTAGCCCCACGTTAGACGCCATTGTATAACGTGTTTACTACGTTATGTAGCTTTTTGCACTAGCTTTGCCGTCGAGAGTAAATTATTCGAAATATACATAGAATAATTAACATAATCAATTAAGAAATATGGATTTTATCGCAACAAATGATTGTTTTTCAACTGTCGTAGACAGTGGATGTGTAGCTCCATGTTGAACGCCATTCTATAACGTGTTTACTACTTCACGTAGCTTCTTGCACTAGGTGAGTTGTCGGGAGAAAATTCGAGAAATCGAGAGTAACACGACAATGGCACATTCAATTAATATGGATTATACCGCGACGATAAAACTTTACAATAATTACCGAAAAGTAAATCGAACGATTTAAGTACTAACGATAGTGGATACCATCGAAATGGACCTGACATAACCAAGTATTTATGCTACTTTATATTAAAATAATCTGACAACAGAGCCTAGAACGCTCCAACGTGTTAAATCTCAAAAAAAGTAAAGGCTCTACAAGAATTTTTACTTTTTTGGCGGATACTATCCATGTTATTTCTTATGAGAACAGTAAAACAACGCCAAGGCACAGAATAAATAAAAATCAAAATGCCCACTCTCAGATGCCGCCTTTGAAGTTTGTCAGCACGCGATCGCCATATTTTAAACGGAAACATAGACTCGAATTGAGAAATTTGTAATAAGCTACGACAGAACCATAATTCAAATTTTTAGAGACTAATAATTTAGTACATTTGAAACAATTCAATCTATTCTTCAACTAAAAGTATGAATAAAATAGTGCATATTATGTCTCTAGTTGCTGTAAATAAATTAAACCGGGTTAATTTTTCTATGCGCACCAGATAAAATATCACTGAACAGCACTGGTTCCGACTAAAACATGGCTGATTCCGTCTGCGCGAACGAGATGCGTGTACTTGTTTTTTAAGCAGAGTGGGCATTCTGATTGTTTATTATTCTGTGGCCAAGGACTATTATGCTCATGTTGACGCTTTTCAAGGTCATCACTCAACGTCAAATTTCACACCTAATGTCAAATATCACATTTAATATCAAAATATCGCATAAATGAAACATTTTACATGAGATCCATTCATTTGTATCTGAAAACGTGATTCGTTGACGTGTACGTGTGATGTTTGACGTGTAATATTCATACGTGACCTTGAAAAATGTTAAAAAATAGCCTAATGGATTTTGTGATGTTTTGTCATGAAAAATGACACGGGGTACCCCTACCAAAAAGTTATAACTTATAGCCTCTTTAATAATAAGAAAATACCCGTGATTAAACTTATTTTATGTCATCAAAATTTATAGATTTATCGATATAAAACCACGAACTTTTTCAATGATTAATATACCTGTGAGTATCAAACAAATAGGATGAATTTTACAAGAGAATACAATACATAACTATCCTAAAATTATCATAGTGCCAGTAAAAATAGTTAGTTCAAAAATAAATACCACAAATTCTTCCATGTTCTTTCTAACTTCCGCAAATATAGTAACAAAAGCAATATTATGCCTAATTAGATTTCAATTCAATTTTTTCTCGACAATTTTTCGCGTTCGCGTCTTAAAAAAGCAAACCACTATTTCTTCCAATGTCTGTGTTGTTTGATTTTCCCCATTTGTGTTTGTCTTGTTTATTTATTTTTTGTTTCGCTTTAACCTTCTTCGCTTCTCGACAATGGTTTTGTGGCTATTTTAACAGGTTTGTATATAATCTTCTTACATATAGGGCATTTAAAAATTATATTTCCATGTAGGTAATTAGACTAGTCTGGAAATCTAGTCTTTTCTTTGCGAAATTACGGAAGAGTTGATTTATGTGTAGATGTATTTCACTAATTTTTCATTGGCTCAGTTAAACGGTTAGAAAGTGCTTTATAATTCATTCATATCAAGTTTAAAAAGTACTGGAATTCTTAGTTTTTGTACATCTCTCGTACCAAGATCGACGGCAAGAGATTTAGTAAAAACTGGGTAGTACTAACTTGATTATAAAAATGATAAAAATTGATGTAGTTCTATAACGACATAGTTTTGTTATTTGTGAGCAGAATTAATCTACTACTAGTACTAGTATTTATAAATAAAGGAAATATAATTTTTAAAATCTCTATTATATAAAATTTCATAATTTTGTACAGTGCAAGACAAGATATAGTACTATGATATTCCCTTTATTTACATATTTTCACAACTATAATCTCTCAAAAATTGGTTCGACCGTAGTGGTAATCGAATAAAGGGTCTTTAATATTACCGAAAGAAGTAGGACGTTTTATATAAATGGATATTCTTAGCCAGCAGGTAAAGTAATAATATGTTTTCCACATCCGTCCGAGAGAAGCAGTCATAATGCATTTTTGCGGTTCGTTCGTTCATTCTTCATTGTTTTATTTTTCATAAATATTTTATTCACGAAATTTCTTGACTGCATTAAAATCTTAGATCCTCTCTTCAGATATCGTCAGAATCTCTGCCTTGTTGTTAGGGGTTCCCAAACTTTTGTGTACCACGCCCTCTTTTGTTGAAATGAAAAAGAAATATAGATTAGGTTGGTTAGTGAGATGGATGTGCTTGCATTTTCTTTACTAGTATGCCTATTCGTGGCTGAGTTTTAGTAAGTGCAGAATGCAAGTCACTATCAGCATCAAGTTTATTCCGATACTTTGTTTTAATTGCCACAAGTGTTGAAAATGTATTTTCGCACAAATAGGTGCTTGAAAAAGGCACATATAAAGGACTAGCTTCCCGTGATTCACTAGGATATACTTTGAAATATTTTAACCAAAATGAAGGTTTGTTGTATTTGCAAAGTATCTTCTTGAAGTGATTCAGGCAGGGAGTCGATCAGGGATGTTGACATGGAATGGGTCAATTGACATTCTGAAAATACTATCGTCATAAGTGTTTGGGAAGTATTTCTGGAACTCTTCAGTTAGGCTCTCCAAATGGTTTGATATTTGGATTTCAAACTTGATCATTCATAAAATGTCCTTGCGCCCCTAGTTTGGGAACTCCTGGTTTAAAGAGAATATTAATAGTGTAAAGAAAATTTTTTGTAGATTTTCTCATTTTTCTGCTTTTTACAATTGTTGTCTCCGGATTCTGCTTCTATAATTTGTTCTCTTTATTAAAAACAGTCATTTTAAAAATTTTGTTTCATTTACCTTAACATAGTGCCTACAAGTACAGAGCTTTCGGCATTAATTGATACGAGCCGAATGAATATAGCGTGTTATATTTGTTAAAAGATTTAAAATCAGAACAATAAAAATGGTAGTCTTGACTTGCACTATACTAAGAATATATTTCATCTAACTTTAGCTTAACTGTATCAATTGTAGATTTCAACTCGCCTTTAGTTCATAGCTGACATATTGCATCAAATCAAATTAAAAGATTTCCATTATATTTGTATAATAGAACATTTGTGTCATATTTTTGCTATATATGTTACAGCTTTTATACAAAGAAAGCAATTTTTTGTATCTATGTACATATACAGCTCTACAACAGATTTATTTTTCCACATTTTTCGATTCCTCATTTGTTCTGACCAGTCTGCTGTTTAAATTTTTTCGATGGCATTTTTTGCTGCTTCTATCTATCTTTTTCTTGGTTGTCCCCTTCTTGTCTTCCCTGTTTATCCCGACTGTTTCTCTAATTTTCTGCGTTATTGTAGGTTGCTCCTTGTCTGGTTAGATCCTCCTCTTTTCTGTCTGTGCAAATAGGAATTTATGATTTTTGCTTCGATAGCATTGTAGTTACAAAGATAAGACTGATTGGATAGATTTTTTTAGCTTTAAATTATGCATTAGAGTGTTGCAACATTTAAAGAAGTTGATAAAAGGACTATATATGTTGTAGAGATCTTTCATTCGATATTTCATTCGATATGACAAATACATGATTATTCTTCAAATTTTCCTCATTCTCTTTTTAATTCTATACGGACCATCCCATCATCTTTGGACTTTTGGACAGGTCGTAACATCTTTATAGGCCTACTAGATCGCCTACTTCGAAGTAGCCATTCGTGGACCGATTTCAATCCAATCAAATCCGTATTCTTTATGAGCCTTCTTTAGTTTAGGAAACAAAAAAATCTACTGGGATAATGTTTGGCGATTAGAAGGGCTAAAGGATGCCAAATATTCCATTTTTTGTGCAAAAATGTCACGAATAAGAAAAGCAGAAGTAACTCTTGTAATGTTACCATGTGGTGAAGTGGTGACTGGAAACTCATAATATTTCGGCATATTTTTATCCAATGAACCTAGATCTAGATTTTTCAAAAAGATCCTGCAAACCAGACCTCCACACTTTTTATCTTCTCTTTATTGGAACCAAATTTATGACCATTTATTCTTCAGCTGAGGAAAGACATAATAGTCGGACGGAGTTAAATCTGGTGAATGAGGAGACTATTCGAGGAATTCAAACCTTAAATCATGAATTGTTTGTATTTCCAAAACAAAATACCTTTGAAAGTTCCGTGTTTTCTCTGCATAATTTTTCCTTGTACAGTGCTCCTAGCTAGTAGCTCCCAGTCAATCCTTATTCAGAAAATAAATCGAGGTTATTCCTTGAGAATCGCAAAAAACTGAATTAGGAACTTTTGCAGCAAATTCTTGAACGCTAAATTTTTTAGTTAGAGAACCAAAGTGTCCCCATTCCATCGATTGCTACATTTTGCAGAAATTTTTCATATGTCCATATGTTCATATCAAATATCTGACAATTTGATAAAATTATGCCATCTACTGCATCGAAAATTACGAAGATGGACATAGTAATTGGCCTTCTTGATCAAATTTCATCTTCAATGAATAATCTACCTCTTTGAATCTTGCAATCCAACTTTTGATGGTCGCATATAAAGGACATTAACCATAGTGGTATTAACATTATCTTCGTAAATCTGTTTACTTCTTAACTACTAAAAATAGAGGTGGTCGATGATGGCACGATGCATCAATTGTTTGATTCTTTTGACGGAAAACTTTACACTGACACTTCTTACAAGGTATTCATCGTTGTTATGGTAACGCAATAGTTTCTTTATATACGGAACCGATCTAGGTTAACTAAATAGAAAAACTAAGTTTATAGCTAATTTGGCTTTCATTAGGCACAGCTTTTTTTTCGTTATTTACCTTTTGTGTACATAAAAATTGTTCAAGTATAGGTAAATTCTTCTTTCTAACTTATTCCACAATTTCATTTCTAAAACTAATGATTTTTTGAAATTTCAGAAACTGGAAGAAGCATTCGCCCAACAATTGGAAGAACAAGAAAGAATTTACGGTCCAATAACGCCCTTAGTTTTGCCCTCAGATCTACCGGAGTTCAACTCCAGCTCTAAGAGAAACAGTTTTTCGTCTGATGGATAGATAAGTTTTGATTTCTGTGCATTAATCGTCGTACCACATTGGATAAATAGTTAAAGTGCCTGTTCAATAGACGTTAGGAAACAGTTTTATCGTTTGTATAAATGAGATTACAATCAGTAAAAATTTATGGACTATTATAATTTTTATAGAATATTAATCGAGTAAAGGTTGACGTCTTCTTCGGGTTATATGAGGGCGATTCCAAAGTAATCTGACAGGTTGTTGTGAGTAATTGTTCTTGCAAGTTTTATGACAAAATCATCCTAGAAAATTACTTGGTATTTCTGTACAGTCTCAAAAGGGGTGTGGGGTAACGTAATGATAACTCATGACGTTTGACATGAAAAGTGACTTTTAACTAGTCACATATTATGTCAAAAACTCATGTACCATCTTAAAACGTAACATTCCACGACATGTTACGTCAAAAGTCATGTTTCACTACACGTCAAACGTCACGTTTTATAGTAAAACACCACGTATTATGTCACTTATTATGTTATAATGTTTCGTCTCCTCTTTCCAAATAAGTTTCATCCTATTTGTCGTTCAAACGTGACCTTACAATGATAAAAAAATTGAACGGAGTGTTTTTAGAGTTTTCTTGTGTGTGTTGCTTTACGTTGAAATTAATTTGATTTCTAAGATTTATTTCACCGTCTACTCTTATCTAAAGATTTTGGTCGTAAAGTTGATGAAGACGACATTGGTGCGCCTACATGAAGAATACCATTCCCTGCTGGTATTGGGTTGGTAAGTTTATCGTTTTTGCTTTGTGTGACATTTTTTTGCTATACAGCCGAATTTCTTTCCTGGATTAATGAAACATTATACTTGTTACATTCAATGTAATGAAATTAGATGGCTGTGAACCCGCCTCTGAAGATTTTTTCGACGCGAGTAATAAAGTTCCGGATGGCATCGCCTCTTTTCCTGTTTCTTTCTTTGCTATTGGTTATTGGGTTTTTACTAATGCTTTCTGTGTTGTGTGGAACACAGAAATTGGAATAGGAAATACCTTTAGAAAGAACAAGAATACTCCGTTATTAGACGAGTTATAAAAGACAAAATAGATGACAAAATTGATTTTCCACGGCAAATCCATCTCTGAGCATGTCTTCGATTTGATTGATTTAAAAATTCAGGTTTGGCGTCAACTGCTTTTTCGTTTCTTGAATTGTTTCTCTAGTAATGGTTAAAATTAGGTATGTGAAGACATATATAGGTAGAAAATACTCGTATATTTTTCTCTAAGTCATAAATCAGCTGGAAGAATTACCTACTGCAATATTCCATATTATTTCGGAGACGCCCTGTATAAAAAGGTCTTGTACATACATGATAAAATATATAGTCACTCTTATAAACATGTTTTGCAGATAGGAATGTAAATATGATTTTATACAGACTGAGTATTTTAAACAATTTGTTGTAACTATCGCGAAATGGATATTGGAATATGATCGATTATTTTTTTTATTGTAAATGTTAGCAAAAGAAAAATCGAAATACATGATACTACTTATGTTATAGATTTTATATCTGAAAAGTAATATTTTCTTATTAGGCTTAAAATAAAATACGGATAATTTTTATTAGAATATGCTTTGATTGTGATTTAACCCCCTAAAGAGTGTAGAAATATTTTTATTAATTTAACATACATTATATAAGTGTTAATATTGTATATATTCACACTATAAATTTCAAGGTATAAACAAAGCTTTCCTATATAATTTATTATTAATATTACACCTTAAAGCGAGAGGGAGAGATAACTAAAAAAGGCACTTTCCGTTCAAACACCAATAAGCACTTTTTGTAGAGCATCAATAAAGTTGTAACTATTTTTAAAAATCGATGGACCAGTTCGAATATTGTTGGGATAACAGGAAACGCTGTACGAGAGGCGTATGTAGCATTCAAAGAATCAGTTTCAAAAACGGGTTTAATAATAAACACCAAAAAAACGAAGTATATAAAAATAAGCACGTAACCACAAATCCTACAACCACTTGTTATAGAAAATGACGTCATCGAAGCAGTGAACGAATTTGTATACCTGGGAGCGCTCTGAAAATAATACTACCGCAGAGATAAACCGCAGAATTTACACGGCCAACAGATGGTATTTTGGCCTCAATCTTCTCCTTAAATCTACAATTATATGGAGAAATACAAAAATAAGACTCTACAAAACAATAATACGTCCAGTCCTAACATATGGTTCATAGAACTGGACTCTAACAAAAAATAATAAAAATATGTTAGGATGTTTCGAAAGAGAAGTACTAAGGCGAATCTATGAAACAGTGAATGACAATTGAGTGTGGAGAAGGCGATACAACTTCGAATTTTATAGAATATACCAGGAACCTGATATCGTAAAACATATTAAGGTAGGACGTCTGAGGTGGATAGGGCATGTAATGCACATGGAACAAATGACTCATACACCCATTGGTCAGAGAAGAAAAGGAATACCCAGAACAAGGTTCCTTGATAACATCGATAAAGACATGAGAAATATGGGAATACGTGCTTGACGGAAGACGGCGATGGATAGGGACGACTGGATAGAAATTCTTGAGGAGACTAGAACCCACGCAGAGTTGTAAAGCCAGAATGATGATGATGACGCTATCTTCACAATATGATTTGAAATATTTCTTTAACAGGTTGACTGCCAGCCTCTTTTTCCTTTCAGTCACACGGCTTGTACATTTTATATGAAAAAATTAAAGTTTTGGCCTCAGAAAACCGTTCCATGGTTTTAGCCCGTAGCTAAAAGGAAAATGAAAGGATTCTTTGTTTACTTGAAATGTGTTGTGTGAATATCCCATATTAACTTTTCATAGATTTTAAAAGATATCAACTTCTCTATTCATCTTCCACGATTGTAAAAGTACCTAAATAAATGTTATAGATACATACAAATATTTTTGTGCTGGTTGAAACGCGAAAACTACAGCAATTCAGCTCATTGGACTGAGTTACGCTAGAAAATGCTGTCAACTGTACTGCGGTTCATTGCGACGTTGCCATGAAATTCAAAAAGTTCTAGAACTTAAATATCAGTCCTATTGTGAAGTGAAATATGACTTTTACTTTTAACCTATTCTTTCTGAAAGCTCAGTAAGGTCTATCGTCTCGTGTGAAATCAGGAATTTTGTTATCTTTCTTAGAACATATACTTGTTTGGAAATAAATTGTTATAAAAAGATTTCTAGTGTCATAGGCTTTTTATTTACTTAAGAGCAACGACAAAACGACTGAAATTCTATGTCTGTACCAATTTTTCATGTTGCATTTAAAAAACAGACCTAGATCATTATATAATTGATTCATTTTTGAATACTTTAATTGAATTACAAGGTACAGCAAACGTTATTTATGTATGACTGTGGAAAATGGACTTTGTTCGACCATTAGAGGCAAAAGTTTTACATTCATTCAGTCTCTTATATGCACGGTCTTAATTATTATTATCTGCTATTCAAACCAGCTATTCCTATATTCTTAATAAAATAGATCTTTTTAAAACTTAAAAGTTAAAACTTCAACATAATTCGCGTTTGCCTTATGTACTCATCTTATTGAAAATTATTTTTGGAATAAGAACTTATAAAAAGTAAATCATTTCCAGAAATATCAACATCAATTGTTTTAGTGTGTTATATACTTCTTTGGTATGCTTAAAAACTAAAAAGAGTGGTTTTAAATGTAGATCAAAGCTAAAAAGTTACTAAGAATAACGCAGGATTCTTATGTGTCGAAAATTACTTTCCTAGTCACTAGGTGCCAAGTGTTCTTAAAAATAAGATACTTATGTATTAAAAAAATAAAATCAGGAAGTTTTGTTTATTTTTCATGACAGTTCAGTAAAAATATTTAACACAAGTTGTTATATTTTTAATAGATTTTTGCAGAGTCGTGTAATGACATTGTCGTAATGATTGACTGAGAATGAAAGACAACATTGTAGCTATCAAAACATATTTGAAAGTAAATAATACAATACAATAATTATAATATGAATTAATGTTCATACAAATATAAGTGAAAGTACAAGCGAACATTAAAAAAAGAACGTTAAACTTGGCAGTATAACCTCAATTACAAATGACAACTGTGTCATTCCCAGAATTAAGGTGAATTTATCTTAACTATTGAAATCTATTCTTTCCAGTTTTTAAACAATCCTTATTGCGTTAATTATTGAATTCGGCATATACTCCTGTAAAGGACAACATTGCAATGCAATCATTTCGTCTTCCACGTTGCAAACTGCGTACTGGTGTAGTTGAAACCAAGCGCAGTTGCCTCGTTTATTGTTTTATCTAATACTATATGCCTAATACAAAAATTAACGGACTTCTATAAGATATGAATCTACTTAAATTAGCTGCATTGTTACACTAGTGAAATTTAAAACAAATGTATTACTTTCTACTTAAAATTTATGGCAAACTACTATGATCTATTTATTATATAGGATGCAACAAAACTAAGCTCATAGATAAAATCACTAATAGATATTGTAATGCTCTTAACGCTCAGTATAAAAGTTAATAACAGATTACAAATTTAAAGATTGTGTATGTTATACAAGGTGGCTCAAATTAGACAAACAATACAGTTTTATTTGGAGTTTAACTGCCGCAGACGTTATCAAAGACTATGCAGGAGAGGAAGGAGATGTAATCTGCTCTCGCTGGATCCATCGGAGCATAAATTTATGATGATTAAGATAAAAACTTACTGTGCTGATACAATTGTTATAAAGTTTTTCTGAAAAAGTGTCATTTTATTCAAACATTTTCCACATTTATTTTTGATAACTTGTTATTTCTTTACATTTTTCTACAAACAGATCGATTTTATGTTTAGCCAGCCTTGTAAAATTCTACTTCACGTATCATTTCTCTTGTGAAATTTCGTTCAAATTTAGTCAAGCATCTTCTGAACAACTATTTCTTCACTAATATTTACAGTGGTGGTTTCTCGGATGGAAGAAAATGTTGGAAAATGATGGGGGAAGAGTTAAAGATGCACAGGGTGGATTTCTAATTGGGTAGGTATTCAGGGTTTGACTTTTATTGGTGAGTTTTGATGTTAGATTTTTGAACTAGTGATTTCAATGTTGGATGTAGGCTTAACTTCTCTTATTGTTCTCGTTTTATAGAATGAGATGACTGCGATTTGTTTGTAGAGACTGTCTATTTGTCTCTCTTGGCATGTTCGTGTGTGAATAAGTCTGATAAAACTTTCTTATAACTTACATCTATTGTGTGTTCGTTAAGTCAAATCATAGTTACCCAAATTTGTCTGGTATGTCCTATATATTTTTGACTATAAGTTTCGCATGATATACTATCGACTTCATGATTTTTTAATGGACGATGTCTTTTACATTTCTTAGTCTTGATACTGTTTCTTGAGTTGTATTTGCAACTGTATCTATGTCTCTTGTCTATTTCGTATCTTTTTTAGCTTACACATCTTCTAAACAATTTTCTTCTTGAATAGATGTGCAATCTAAACTAATAATTAACTAATGGATGTTCTTATAAAATTGTACACTGCGACGAATCGCACTGCAACTAGTTATATTGGTAAGAAGTACAATTGCATATCGCGTTTTGTTGAGAGGTTCGTATGTTTTATTGTCGTCAAAAACTTTAATGAAACCCAAAGTTAAAAGGTATACACTACTGTTTTTGTTCTATGATATCAGAGGTAAACTTTTCTACATTAAACTCATAATTTCCTTGCTTATCTTGTCAAATGGATATTTACTGAAGATACCAAAA